CCCCCCCCCCCCCCCAAGGCCCTGCCTGGAGGCCAGCCACACCACACACACGCCCTGTTGCAGCAGCCCCTCCACACACACCCCCGCCATTTCCCCAGAGACCAGAGTCCTCGAGGGGCGCAAGCAGCCAGGGACCACCTGAGGGTGGGACTGCCACCCCCCACCCCCATCCACAGAGGCCCTCACGGAAGCAGCAGGCCAACGAGGGCAGGGCTGAGGAGAGGACCACCTTGCCACGCAGCCGTTCAGTTCTGCCCGCCCGCCCTGCCCTGCCCTGCCCAGAACCAAAGCCCAGCTCCCCGGCCCCTCGTGGCAGGCTGCCCAGCAGGCCCTGCGCTGCAGATGTGCGCAGAGCCCAACATCTGGCTTTGGTTCAGGCCCAGGGATGAGAGGAGCGCTGCTGGCGCCAGTGTGGTCAAGGCGATCCCACGCGCACACACACCCCGACAGGCGGGTTGCGCAGCAGCAGCAGCAGCAGCAGCCCTCCGACGCCTGGCACAGCGGCGGGAGGGAGGGAGGGAGGGATGGAGGGAGGGTGGAAGGAAGGAAGGAAGGGCAGCCAGGCTGGCTATTCCAGGAAATTATTGTTTCCAGCTCCCGGGCTGTCCAGTGGGGAAGGGAGGGGTGGCCGGCACGGGCCGGGTCAGGAGAGCCAGGCCCCTCGGGGAGCTGCCGCTCGGCTTCAGAGCAGGCCAAGAGCGGAGGCAGGACGAGGGAGGGCTTGTTTGCTCCCTGGAGGCACAAATCCAGCAGCCCCTCCGCTACGATGAAGAGCGCCTGAGACAGGACTGTGCTAAGGAGTCCTGCTGTGTCGCCCCCACCAAACCAAACTGTGCCAGGACAAAAAAACCCACACACACCCCACATTCATGCCATGCCGGGCAGCTACGATGCAGATGGCCAAAAGGCAGCAGGGGGAAGGAGTGAGAAAGAAAGAAGAGGCAGGCCCAGAGCCGGAGGAGACTCTCAGAGGGCGGCTGCAGCCAGCACGGCCCCCTCCCTGCCCCGGACGGCCCGACAGCTCAGCAGCCAAACACTGTGTGGCCCCAGGCCCGCAGGAGCTGCTGCAGAGGGAGGGAGGGGGCGACCTGGGGGACCCACCCCCCCGTGCCTTACAGCTACATCACTTCCACACTCTCAGGGTCACAGAGGTCGGAGAGGGAACAAGAAAGGAGAGGAAACTCCAGAGGGAAACAGGAAACCCCCCCCCCCCCCCCCCGCTGGTGGGAATGGGACCGACCACGTCTGCCAGGCAGGAGGGAGGCTGTCAAGTTACGCCTCCCTCCTCAGGGCAGATCTATTCTTTTTCCTCCTGTAGTTTCAGAGGAGACAAGGGGAAGGGCTGGGTCATCATGGGGGACGTGACCTGAACCTGAGGGGCGGCCGGGACCTCCTTCCCCTCCTCGCCAGGATCATTTCAAACAGCCCAACTATTGGGCACCGGGTTGTCTCTGAGGAGCCACCCCCCCCCCCAGTGAGCCTGATGGCATCCCCGAGATGTCAGGGCGGGCAACTCATGA